CGGAGTAGGCACTGAAATGCTGCTGCGACTGTTATGCACAACAGAACAAAAATTAAAAAAACAATTAAATAACTAAAACTGAACCTGGACATATTCTGCAAACTACCCCCTTTGTTGTTTGCAAGGTTTATTTTATTGCAAATAGGCTACTTGTTTACTTGTATCTAACATTTTTGCAAGCATGTGTTTACACTGGGGTATTGAAGCTTTGATAGTAAAACTGCTCTACCATTTCATGACAGAGTACAAACACACATTCTGTCTTGCTGAAGAGACACACACTTACCTTTTCCCTTAGCTGGACTGTGTGTGAATGTTTGTAGCAACACTTTAAGGTGAAATCCGGAGCGATGAATCTTGTTAGTCTCGTCTCTGTTATCTCATTTGTTCAGGTGAGGAGTGTGAATGAAGTAGAGCCTCAACCTGTTCAGAAAAGATAGGAGTAAAAATTTCACACTGCTCTGCTGTGTCAAATTTCTTTGCTATCATTTCTCTCTTAATGGACAATTAGGCCTGGAGATCTTCTCGGGGAAAGAAACATATCATTTTCTCAATCAGTAAAGGTACTAATCCATGACATTTGATTACCATAATTATGGTTTTCAAATTAGATGTGGAGTGCTGAGAGAAATAATGAGACTTTCCTCTCTGAAACATCTCTTTTATCATTCCCAGTAAGTAAATCCACTAAAACCACAACTTTTTAACCTGAGATTTTCTAATATACGAGTGCACAGTATACATTAGAACAGATATATTGAGTCAGATATAATGATCAGTTTGGAAACAGTAGAAATGGTGAAATTTAGAACAACCCAGGAATATTCACTATATTGTTGTTGTTTTCCCCCAATATCTAATCACGGACTGAGCAATTATTTCAACACCAACAATGCTAAAAATAATTTTCTATACTAATTATTCCACCTGACTGCCCCTTGTTTAATATCAATTTATTTCATCCAAATCAGTGCTGGAGCTTCGCAGCTAACAGTGTTTACAGGTTTGAGGTCATATAACCATGACAAAAGGTGGATGGCTGGAGGGAGGCTGAAGTAATTTGATCCAGATGGGAGCAAGATGATAACTAATCTGGGTGCAAAGATGTTTTCCAGAAGCCAGAGTTGGTGTAATTTAAGATCAGTTATTAAGATTTCAAACACATCAACTTGCCATGTAAAAAAAGAGTTTCACCATTAAGTTAGAGATGACTTTACAGCGGCTAGATAGCTAACGTTAGCTACCTTAACCCCAAACCATTGACATTTAACATTAGCTAGTTACATATAACTCAATAAACAATGCAACAGAAAATTAAATCAGTTACAATAAATTTACAGTAAATAAAGCAGTCCATGATCATTATCATATTGACATTAAACAAAACTTTAACCTACCCTCTTGTTAGGTTATTTCTTAGTTAGATAGATATGGATTAGAGATCTGTTGTATTAGAAGATGTTTAGTGCAGACAGGGTGACTAGTTTGATGTAACTATTAGCCTGCAGTAAAATTGCAGGCACGCCAAGGTTACAGGAAAAGAGCTTTTAGGGTCAACTGTAATGCTAGTCTTAATATTTGTCTTAAAGTGTAAGGTTATGTCCCATTGTTTAGATACACACCACGAAAACAACAGTCACGCACCTTGACTTTTCCTCATGTGTGGGCTAAATGATAGAGCAGCTGCAAGGCTTGCTTATCAGGTGACGTCACGGTTCGACAGCCCAGAAAGGATTAATATTGTATAGCAATGCTTGGTTCGGGGTCTTCCTGCTTCCGGGCTGCTTTGGCAGGCTGGGGGTTGGAAGATCTCTGGACTGGAAGTGTGGATTCTTGCCTGTGACTTTTTGAATTCTGAAAAGTTTGTCTATGCTAGCATGCTTGTGGGCTGCTAACAACGTCAGTTTCACGTCAGGAAAAAAGTCCCTAAATATCTATAAAAAAAACCTCTCGAAACACTACTACAGCATAACCCACTTCTCTGCTGTCCGTCTGTATGATCTAACACCTTTATAATCAAAATATCCACACAACTTTCGCTAATTGGTAATGTAGAGTCGCCAGCGACCTAACCTAGCTACCCACCTACACAGAGTGTACGTCGGTCGCGTGCGATGATAGAAAAACAAAAACAATCGTGTAACCTACATATTCTTCTTCGTCTTCTTCTTCTTCTGTTGTTTAATGGCTGTTGGCAAACAGAGCCCTGCATGGTGCCTTACAGGTACACTGATATTGATATTGGTTTGGTATGTTCACAAGTCTCCTTAAGTCAACGTCGGCCATGTTTTTATCTATAAAGCCCTAATGTCCTGTGTCAGAATGGAAGGAATGAGTTCTGTCTTATTCATAAGATTTGTGAGCATATCTACTATTACCAGCTGAAATACAATCCGGGTCACCCTAAGAAGTTATCCATGTATACAGCTGGCTGTGGTATACTGTTATTAGTTTTCCAGATTAGTGTGTAGCCCACATAACTCTGAGATGAGGGAACCACAACCAAGTCTCATGGTCACACCGTGCAAAGATATTTCTGCTTCTCATCAGGTCTCATCATATGTAAGTGTCTGCAGTTTCTATGGACAGAATAAGCAATTATGCTCACCCACTTCTGAGCACAGCAAGCAAGAGTCTTTACTGAGGATGGTTTATTTGCTGTGTCTGACTTGTACTTGTAGTTTTATTATGTTGATGGGAGATGACATGTAAGCACATTCACATTTTTGACACATGTTTACAATGCTCCAATTTTTGTCACTTAAACTCTAAATTGATGCAGTACAAATGTGAACATTTTCATAACTGAACTGACACATTTGAAACACTCCACTGCTACCTGCTGAGCAGCATTTTATTTCTCAGGATTACTCAGCTGGAGAGTTTAATTCTCATCCTCTGTCTCATTTGCTTTTTTTCCAGACAAAAACTGTTGTTTTTGCAGTTGTTCCTTGTCCTAAAAGACACACATATGCACAACCACATGTCTATTGCTCTTTGCAGCATGACTGGCAACTGTGGTGTTGACTGCTGGAGATGTCACTGGATACTCTGACTCAGCTGTTCGCACTGCTGCTCTAAATATGATTGACAGCTCATATTGCTGCACTGCCATGTGCTGAAACTCTTCTTAGACAAACCTGCCAATTATCACCCATAACCTTGACTCTGTGATGACACAACTATAGTATTTTCACTAGCAGGTGTCAGTTTTAATGTAGATGTTTTGAGGTGTGACTGTGATAAAAATGTGCCCATACAGAACCAAATCAAAATACAGTATGTGTTTAAGATGACATTTGGGAATGGTGCAACCAATATTAAACAGTTTAAAACACTTAGGCTAAGAACTAAGTCGCACAAAATCAGTTGAATAATTAGGAGCTCAGATTGTTTCTCTAATTTGAGTTTACAGTGTAAGTGTTACTTTAAGGACAGGTTTGGATTTTTAGATCGTATTTTTAATGAAGACTTCTGTTTTGAAGTGAATTCATTTATAAATTCCATGAATTTTGACAATTGTATATGAATATACCATACAATCTTTTAATCTTTTTTGGCTAAGTGTTGTTTTAGGGATGGTAGTATATACACATTCATGGTATTCAGTTGATGAACTGTACTGACCTTAGTGATCCTGACATTTCCTGTAGCGCCATGAGCTTGACAGCGTTTTGTTTTTGGTGAGATAGCTCAACAACCATTGAATGGATTGCCATAAAATTTTGTTCAGACATTTATGCTCCCTTTAGGATAAACTGCAGTAACCTAATACATTTTGTGCCATCATCAGAATTTTAACTTGTTTCTTTGTAAGTCTACAATAATTTATATTCACAGAACTAATGGCATTTCCACCATCCTCATCTGTCCTTTCTGTTGTGTCTTCTGTTTTCTATTTTGCCTTTTTTCTTTGTGTCCTCTAAAAAACTAAATGTCCCTTTTTCCTTTTGTTAAGTTCTTGACTCTTTTTTGCTACACATACAGTAAAAGGTTATTTATTTCATTTTATTTCTTCTTTTTTTTTAAGAATGGAGTCGTTTCTTAAATCATATAGGCTGTTATTTCCTTCATTTCCTCTTTTTTACATTGTGCTGGTATCCACTATTTTTGTACAGTGGTTTGTATCATGTCCTGTGGTGTAATATTGAAACAGCAGGTTTATTAACCCATTCTACTCAGGCCGGTTTATTTACAGTCTATGAAAAGCTCATCTTTAATTATCAAACTTTAACACAGACACCAGTCACTCTATCAGTTTGTTGTCAGAAATCATTAAAAAAAAGATAATCACATGTAGCTATTCATCACGTTTCAGATTTATTTAAGTTCAACAAGCATAGGTTATGTGAAGAACAGTGACAACCACAGATCATCACTGCTGTGAATGTTGCTACAAAATAAAACAATCATTACAGCGACTTCAAGTGAAACCACTCATTCTTTGTCACTGGCCTCTGTTCAGCATGACGTGTGACTCCAACCATGTCATTATTACATTTCACAAAAATTTTACTCTGATAAGTTAATGGATCGAATTGATTATGTAAACAGATATCACTTCATAATTTCATAGGCAGCATCATAAAACTATTTCTTTTAATCCCCTTTTATGTCAAAAATAAAATAAAAAAACATATTTACAGGAAAAGTTAAAGACCCGTCATTCATAAAACATTATTGTTGCCAAAACATCAGAAATAAAAACTGAAAAAGGGGGAAATATATATATAAATTCTAACAGGGTGGATGCTCCCAAAACAACTCTCTCACACAAAACGATATACAGGTATATATATATATGTTTGTATCATATATATTCTGTATAGATACTTCTCTACAAAAAAGCAAGTTTACCCTTTTTATGAGTAAATACATTCTATTCTACAATCACTATAACAACAGCGTACATTCCCAACCAAAATGCTTTGATCGTTTATCAGGATTTAATCAGATGACCATGAACAGGAAGTATGTAATGGCATGCTTAATATGACTGCAGTACTGTGTGTGTGTGTGTGTGTGTGTGTGTGTGTGTGCAGCCTCATATGGGAGTGAAATAACGTCCTATATTTTGACTTGCCCTGTTCATGTGCTTGTCAGATGACCACAAAACACATACATTTCCCCCCTGACACACATGAATACACAGTCAGAGAAAGCGATCGGTTCCAGCAGTTAGTCTGGTTAACTTTTCCTCAGCAGGTGAAACGTGATCCGAGATCTATTTCTGCAGCTCTGCTGAATTCATAACAACTTGCAGATGGACTTTCCAGTGCTTTGTTCAGCTCTTCTCCCCTCTGCTTCCAGACAAATTTAGCATGACACTCAGACTTAAATCCCAAATTTCTATGCTATTGCAAAAGTCAGAAAGACACAGTTATCCTTTAGAGGCTGGATTCACATACGGCAAAGCTGTTTTTTTTTTTTTTACCTGACATTTCATAACCGTCTAGACGATGAATATCAGATCACATGCTGTATGGTTTCTCACTTTTGAGACTGCTGAGATGATCAGATTTGTATAACAAAGGCTTCAGAGTCTTTGGCATCTAGAGACAGTAAATCCCATCCTACAGTACAAACCAGAACCCGTTTCCTAAAAGCATCCCTGCAGCTTTGCTTTTGAGCTTTGACCTCACAGGGAGATTAAGATGTAGCTTTGAGAAGCTAGGCTCCAAAACAGAGTCCAAAAATCTGATGTAACTTGGCAAGGAAAGCATTCAGAACTCTTTACCAGCTGGACATATTGCAGCATCTACATCCGCAAAGCTCCTGTATTTGGTGCCATAAAAGTGTTTTTTTTTTAATAGTGTACCTGTCCTTTTTCTCTCGTGACAGCAAAGCTCGAGTTGTTTTTCAAAGAAAAAAGCAAACTTAAAACTAAATCCATATGTACAATGCTACAGACAGCCCGTTATAAAGCACCAAATAATAAATGGGGTAGGTGGGAGTGTGTATTCTCAGCAAGACATGGCTCAAATCCTACAGTACAGACAAGGCCTAACCACTTGTGTGACTCGCTAAATACAGTACAATCATATGTGTAATATACAAACCACAGAGCAAAGAGTGTCATGCTGTCGCAACGTGCTCAGCTGTTAGTCTATGAATGTTGAACTATTTACATATGATTATGCTTGCTTGTGTGTGTGTGTGTCTTTTTGCATACACGTGTGCCAGGTAGCCCTGAGAAAGATGAGTGGGTGTTTTGCAAGTGGGTGTTTTGTGCTTATTAGATTAAAGGTGTACGGTAGTTGATGAATGCCCACTGAGAGGCAGTGTGTGTGTGTGTGTGTGTGTGTGTGGAAGGCGTGCATGTGGGTTCAGTGGCTGCCATTGTTTCCTTTTGATTTCTGGGGAACACTAGAGCAGGAACAACAACCATCAGAAAACTCAATGAGATGAGTCCAGCACAAACAGAGAAGTTATTCACACAGACATCACTGTTCACGCCTTCAAACGTGGCTGTTGTGAGTATTTCCTCTGAAGGGAACACCCCTGCACACACACACACAGCTGGAAGATGCTCCTCACTCTCCCTATTTTAAATGAATTGTGAAAGGAGCAGCATCAGTTATGTTAGTTTCCCTCTTTGTTCTCCCACATTTTCTAAATCATCACCAAATATGTACTTTAGCAAGAAAATTGGATCTTCTTCTTCTATTGCTGTGCAAATTTCTTTATTATACTACAAACAACCTGGATGTGTATTTTTTTCATCAGACCTCAGGGGGATCATCTCTTTGCCTCTAATTTCCTAGTTACATTTTTAAGAAACATGGTGCTTTCAGACAGTGGTAAAATGAGATTTTATTTTTCCTCATGTTTCACTATAAAACCTAACAAGAAAGGAGGAGACAGTAACTCCCTAGTAATTTAACACTACTGAATGACTATGACCATGGACCAGCCTGTACAGTCCCACCAGTCTGCTGGTGCCTGTTTTAGACTGACTGTGTTTCCCTGAGCTCTCACTCTGCCACGTTTCCTCTAAATGCGGTTGTCTAGCCAACAGACCAAGAGGCCAGGGTCAGTGGTCAGGGTGACTCCTTGTGTGAGTCTGTTCAGTCTGAGGGGAAATGAAAAGGTTGCTCGCTGAGGTATGACTGTCTGCCTTGTTAATGTGGGCCATCTGGAGACAGAGGACAGGGGCAGAGGGAGAGCACGAGAGAGAGACAGAGCAGAGAGAGAGCAGAGGGGGAATTAGGAAAAATTCGTAGCTGATAGAGAGGCCTGTTTCTACTTAATAAAGCTCCAAGTGTGAATTCCACATGAGGAATGAAAAGTCACAGCAAA